ATGATTGACAATGGGCTCTCGTACCTGCAGTTGTAACTACTACATATAGTCATGAATATAAATGATCACATGCTGAGTAGCCTGCATCCAATCCCAGTTGAAGTTGCAGACCTCCCTCTGATTAGGGTCCTAACTCTCAAAGTTAGCTACTCTAGAGCTAGTACCCGCTCTTGAACCTGAAGTCTCTCCAACTACAGCTCTAGCCTTCCTCTTTGGTTTATAGAACATGGATACATAAGCATAATCAATGTCAATAATAAGGGTCACATAGTGGTGAGCAGGTAACTTTGCACGCCCATGCATACAAAGTGATATAGTCAAACATGGGAAAACCAAGGGGAAATTAGCTTTGGCCCTCGGTTTCACACCACTATCCACCATCATCCGCATCTCATCAGCGATAATGCAAGCCACATCCATCTGAGTGTTAAGAAGGATACTATGCACCATGTGTGTCAAGTCAATCAGAATTGTAGAAGAATTAGACTTGAGTTTCATATTATGCAACACCAGAAGCAACACCAGTTGTGCCACAGGACCCATGTCCTCCCACTTAAACCTCACTGGAACCCTAGATGGGTTCGTATCCACACTCTTTTCCTCCAATAACAAAGCAGAAGTCATCGCCTCAATATTCCTAAGCCTCCTCAACTGTAGATGATAAACATTTATCTCATTTAACTCAAGAGTTAACGAGTTCCTCAACATTGCATTAATTGTGTCCCTATCAAAATTTATTTATCGACCGCTCACCATAGTGGTCCATGTGAAGTTTTCTTCCTCATCAGGGAGGGTGTTTGCATAGAACTCCATCACTATGTCCACATTGTAACTCTCACATGGATGGATCAGATAGTCTCACTTCTTCTTTTCAAAAATTGATTGGGCCGTGTGAAAGGGTCCTTTTAGATGAATGTTGAAAACCCTTTCAGAAAAGATGTTCCTTTTCTCAAGGCTCAGATACCTCTCAGCTTGATTAAGTCTCTTAAACTGGGCGTTGTCATATGGTTGTGGCTGACGAGAGGTGCTCCCTCCCATCGTCTTTTGCTTTTTCCAAGCTCCGGTTCTAGGTGGTGCCATATGAAAATAACAACACAAAACAAATTCTTGCACCAGCAGACAAATAAGTTAGAAAGGGAAGACATCTGAGACAAGGAAACAACAGTTAACATTCAAGAAAACATAAAATTCTGGTGTTGCTGTCGAATTGGGGAAACAACATCTGCTTGGTGGAGACAAAGTCAAAAAGCTAAAATTTTGTGAACCCTGTGTACTTGATAAAACTTTTAGAATGAAGTTCAAAAAGGAAAACAAAGAACACATGGATCCCTTGATTACATCCATGCTGATCTTTGGGGACCTACAAGGTGTCCATCACATTCAGGAGCAAGGTATTTTCTGTCCATAGTCGATGATTATTCCATAAAGTTATGGGTAGTCATCCAGAAAACTAAGGATGAAACTTTTGATAATTTCAAAAGTTGGATGACTCTGGTCGAAATCAGACTGGTAGAAAGGTCAATAGGTTGAGAACCGACAATGAGCTTGAATTTTGCAGTGAGGCGTTCGACAGCTTTTGTGTTGCCTCAGGTATTGTAAAGCACAAAACTACTGCAGGTACTCCAAACAAAATGGTTTGGCGGAAAGGTTTAATCGAACTATTTTGGGAAGAGTTAGATGCATGTTGACTAGTACTGATTTAAAAAAGGTTTTTTGGGCTAAGGTTATTTCGTCAGCAACATTTCTGATAAACAAGTGTCCTTTGACTACGTTAGATATGAAGACACCTGAAGAAGTTTGGTCGGGACATCACCCAGATCTCGACAAACTGAGAGTATTTCGATGTGTGGCCTATGCTCACATTAGGCAAAACAAGGTCGAACCTAAAGCTTTGAAATGCATGTTCATGGGATAACCTGAAAGAGTTAAAGCTTATAGGCTATGGTGCCTAGATTCAGGTCACAGGAGGTGAATCACTAATCGAGATATAGTTTTCAATGAAGCTGAGATGGCCTTCAAGAAAACTGATGATGCTGACGAAGAGCAAGAACATAGAGAGATTTATGTTGAGGTGGAGCATGTTGATGTTGAATTGTGTATCCCAGATGAAGTCGAAGAAGAAACATAAGTTGCTGTCGAAGATGAGGAGACTGATAATGACTACCTTCTAGCAAGAGACAGGTTGAGGAGAGTTATCAAGCCACCTCAGAGACTTGGGTATGCATATCTTATAGCTTACGTTTTAATCTCTGCAAGTGAGGTTCTAGACGAAGAACCTAGAGACTATAATGAAGTTATAAGGATTCGAAATAAGAATAAATGGTTGAAGGTCGTGGATGATGAGATGAAATATCTTCATGATAACAACATCTGGAAACTGATCAAGAAACCTGTTGGAGCCATGTTAGTCAGCTGTAAGTGGATTTTCAAAGTTAATGAAGGAATCAAAGGAGTGGCTTCGAAGAGATACAAGGCAAGATTGGTCTCTAAGGGTTTCACTCAGAAAGAAGGTGTCGACTTTAATGATGTATTCTCTGTTATTGTGAAGCACGGGTCTATTTGAATGTTCATTGCTATGATGGCATAATTCAACCTTGAATAGGAACAGTTGGATGTGAAGATTATATTCTTGTATGGTGATCTAGATGAAACAATCCTGATGAGGCAACCTAAAGGGTATGTTAAAAGGGGGAAAGAAGATTGTATGTGCAAGCTAAAGAGATCTTTATATGGACTGAAACAATCTCCTCGACAGTGGAATAAGAGATCCGAAAAGTTCATGGCACGCATAAGTTTCACTAGAAGTCAGTTCGACCACTGTGTTTACTGCAGATTTCGACTTGGTAATTCATTTGTTATTTTGTTGCTTTTTTGTGGATGATATTCAAATAGCAAGCAACAATATCGAAGATATAATGAAGGTGAAGGCTAAACTCAATACGGAGTTCGAAATGAAGGATATGGGAGTTGTGTCCATAATTCATGGGATTGACATCCGAAAAGATAGAAAGCAGTCAAAATTATACTTATCTCAAAAGGCATACATGTGGAAGATTCTCGAAAAGTTTGATATGTTGAATTCAAAGCATATTGTGACTCCGACAAACCCTTGATTCAAGCTGAGTATATATCAGTGTCCTAGTACTGATGTTGAAAGAGCTTATATGAATAGAATTCCATATGCTAATATAGTGGGTTCTTTGATGTATGTAATGGTCTGTAATAGACTTGACATAGCATATGCAGTAAGTCTTATAAAAAGGTACATGGAGAATCTTGGAAAGGCTCACTAGCAAGCATTGAAGTGGATTCTAAGATACATAAACAGGTCTCTGAATACAGTCCTAATTTATGGTGAAGTCTTGGGTGAAGATAGTAAATCAGCAATCGAAGGATATGTCGACTCTGATTATGCAGGTTGTATGGACTCTAGGAAATCTATTTTTGGATATGTGTTCACTATGTTTGGCACAATAATCAGTTGGAAAGCAACACTTTAGAAGGTTGTCGCCTTATCAACCACTGAAGCGGAATATATTTCCCTCACTGAATTTATGAAGGAAGCATTGTGGCCTGAAGTTTTTGCAAAGGAGTTGAAACTTCAAGGTCGAGTTGTCACTGTTAAATGTGATAGTCAAAGTGCAATACACCTGTCGAAGAATTCAGCATATCATGAGCGAACCAAACACATTGATGTGAGGCTGCATTTTGTCAGAGGGGTAATGGAGCGTGGAGAAGTCTGAATGCTGAAGGTTTCGACAGATCATGATGTTGTTGATATGATCATCAAGATGTTAACCAGTTGCAAGTTTTTCCACTGTATGCAGTTGATAAAGCTGCATGAAGAAAACTAATGTGTTTCCTGATGTTATAGTGTTAGATCCAAGGTGGAGATTTGTGAGATATTGGATCAAACTCTAGTTTTGCATGTCATCGAAATCTGCTCACATATTGTTGTTGAAGACCTATATGTTGTAGTCGAAATGTATTCTAGTATGTTTAAGTTAGCTTTTATCCTAAGTTAACTTGTAATTGGTAATTGTTAAAAAGCTCATTAGTTTAATATGTTAGGTTTTATTATAAATAGCATACTAGTCTCTCATCTTAAGTGTGGCAAATCCTAATTAGGATGAAAGGGTTATTTTTTATTCTTGAGTATCTGTAATCTGTTTATAGAGAAAGTAAAGAATAACAATTATGACCAATCCTTGTTGTTTTTCTTCTAATTTTTTCGTTAACCCTAACCCTTGTGTGTTTCTCGACGATAAAGAAATCATTTATATTTTATTTCAAGGTATAGTTTTTCACAACATTGCTGACATTCTAAATATTGGAATATATTTTATATAATCTTTTACATTTTCCCATTTCAATTCAGTTTGAACTTCATCATGGTTGTATTCAACAGTAATAACATTTTCTTTTCCTTTACTCTTTTTCTTCAACTCATTTAACCCAAATCGAGAAATTTGTAACCCATGAAACCCGCCACCCGAGCTAACCTAACGCCCAAACACGCAAAGACGAGTTGATGTTTTGCAGTAGATGGTTTTCGTCGGATGTGGTTTTTCTGTCTGGAATCGACTGAGTCCGACCGTTGTCCACCTCTTAGGTATATATGTATGGAAATGTGAGGTAACAAACGATACAAGCTATACTGGTACAATAATTCTATACCAAAAAATCATCATCAGCATCTTTTATTTTATTATTAAGAATATTCACATTGAAAAATAAGTGATTGATCATAGAAAATTAAAATCAATTATGATGATAATATTCATAAAATAGCCATAAAATGTATGTAACTAAAGCTATGATATCAATTGATAGATTTAAGAAATTAGATAGATATAAATTATAACATATTATTATATTGAACAATACTCAAGAATGATAAAAGTGATGTACTCTAGAGATGTCGTCAAGGAAAGTGAGTACATAATTCAATAATCCTCAACAGTTTTAAACATCTATTACAACAAATTCTAACACCTACTTCAGTATTTAGGACTAAACACACCAATAACTTTAAGAAAATTGACTAAAGCAAACAAGAAAATAGAAACTCCAACAACAGTTGAGCTAAGCCTCCAAGGATCACGAAAATAAACTGATCTCATCATTCCCATATAATGTTTCCAAACATTCGTATAATGTTCATTCAGTTCCTTCACCATTTCACCATAGCAATTTGATGTCACCACAACATGTCTGCAAAGACAATTAACCAAAGTCGCCAATTCCGCGTGACTCCCGAGCTCATGGCTTATGATTTCTGTGTCAACCAACAGCTCAACATCTTCATGCGTATGAATCAAAGAATCAATTAGCGAAACATAGTTGCACACGAAAGGTTGGTTCGAATAATGACATTGTTCGAACGCGATTAGGTTCCTTAGAACACATTCCGTCGATTGATCAACTTTCAAATGCGGGACTTGTAACTTAGATTCCACAAATCTGAAACATGGTATACAACCTAAGCACAAAAACCAGTTCAAGATTGGTGTTTTCTTAAACTTTATGTCACAATAGCTTCGACCTTGAACTTTCTCAAAGCTAATTCCTGCTTCATTCAACTTTGTCGCTGTTCTAAGTACATATTCCGATGAAAATTTCGTGAAATTGAAATTTTCCGATTGCTTCACACCGTTTTCCTGAATCTTTCTCGGAAGATAACTATATCGAATCAAATCGGTGAAATGCTTGCAAGATTCACAATTCCGAATCATCTCATCTTTTAAGCTTTTTTTCTGAGGATAATAATCTTGAAAGTAATTAAAAGCAAGTTCAATAAAACTAACACAATTTCCACCCAAAACCCTTGTGTGTAATTCCTCCAAAACAAACATAGGAATCTGATTTTCAAGCAACAACAAATCCCTTTGAGTGATTCTATAAATCCATGAAGTCATAAACATGAAATCATTCTTCTGTTCAGATTCATTACTTTTTCTCAAAAACAACTCCATAATGAAAACTGAATCTAACAAAATCATTTCCACAAACTTATCCAAAACGCAAACATCATGCTTAGAATAACATTTAGCAATAATCTCTTTATTTTCTTCAAGAAAAACCTTATATTGAGCCAAAGCTAAACCTTGTTTGTTTGATAAACGTTTCCAAAAGGCATGAAAGTACCTTTGTTTCTGTTTCTCTTGATTTAGGTCTGGATTGTGGCTATGAAAAGGACCTATTGAGATGAACTTTGGAGTAAAAGCTTCTTCATTCAACTTGTGAAGATGGTTAGGAACCTTGTAAATGCAACATTGTTCGTGTAACATAGGTTCAATCATTTCTGGAATGTTAACTATGTGATGAATCTGTGGTTCTGTTTCAGAACCCATTGAAACACAAGTTTCTCTTCCTTTTTTCTAACCTAAAAAACTAACATAAAAAAAAAAACATTAGCAAGATTAAACAAAATAATAGAAAATTAAGAACTGAGGATGAAATATTTTTCAATAATCTAAAAATAAATAAAAGGAACTTACAATTACAAGGATTGAGAGAGACTGAAAACAGAGAAGAAATGAAAATGGTTTAGGTTAAGAGTAACAAGAGTTGTTGGTAGCAATAAATAATTACCTAGAATGGTTTTAAGGTTTTGAAAGGAACCAAACCTAACTCTTTGTGTTAGAATAAATATGTTGCATTGATATTTGTGTAATGTGTTTTGAATGAGTTTTTGTTTTGATTCTCTTTCTGTCTGTTTGAGCACTGATCATGCACGTGCTCTGCTCAGCATTCTTATTGTACTTTTTTATTTATTACGGATTTGAAAAGTGGAACCCACGAGTTTGTGACTTCTTCATTTTTACTTATGAAAGGAAAACTTTTGTTTTAAAAATTGATTGTTCGAGAATTTATAAAAGGAAGGTTTTCAATGGAATATTTTATGTATTTTTTAATTCTGAGACCGCCTTGTAGGAATAGAAGCATGACATTGTATATATCTGCGTCTGATAAAATTTTAGAGAGCATGTTGGCTCAAAAGGATAAAAATGGCGTCGAAAAAGTCATTTACTACCTTAATAGTCTTAAATGATGCAGGAACTAGATATAGTATAATCGAAAAATTATGCTTATGTCTATATTTCTCTTGTACAAAACTAAAGCATTATATAAAACTAGTTGATGTTTATGTTTCATCTAACTTCGATATTATTAAGCATATGTTGTCTAAACTAATTTTGTATAGTCAAATTGGTAAATGGGCATTGGCATTAATTGAATATTTATTAACTTACATGCCTTTGAAGGTTGTTAAGGGTCAAGTGGTAGCAGACTTTATAGTTGACCACTCTATAGTCGAAAGCTTCCAAAACTATGTGGAGCTTGAACCTTGGACGTTGTACTTCGGCGGTTCTAGTCATAAGGACGGAACAAGTGTGGGATTTCGGATTATTTCCCCTAACAAAATTCAAGTACAAGGTCGAAGGCCTTTGTTCAAACAATGAAGCCGAGTACGAAGCTTTGATAGCCGGACTTGAAATCTTGTTGGAATTGGGGTCAACTCGAGTCGAAATAATGGGTGACTCTGAGTTGGTTATAAAAAAAATTACAAAGAAGTATAAATGTGTCAAAGAGAATCTAATTATGTACTTTGTAATAGTCAATAGATTATTACGAAAGTTTGAAATGGTAATTATTTTACACATATCTCGACTTGAGAACCAAGAGGTTAATGACTTACCTCAAATTGCTTCTGGATACAAAATTTCAAAAGAAAAATTACAAGATGCAATCAAAGTCAAAGGAAGAGTTAAGTCAAATAAGTTATCCCCAACAGATTTGGAAATAATGAAGCTAGGATATGCCGACGAATAGAGTTTTGAGATATTGGCCATAGATAGCTTGACATACGAAGATTGAAGAAAGCCAATACTAGAATACTTAAAAAATCCATCACCGTCTGTCAAACGAAAAGTCAAATGTCGTGCTTTAAGTTACGTTCTAATAGGGAACGAATTATTTAAAAAGACGCCTAAAGGTGTCTTGCTCAAATGCCTTAGTGAGTCGGAGGCATACTTAGCTCCCTCTAATGTCCATAGTGGGGTATGTGGAGTGCATCAAGTTTGATAATCATCGTTTTGCAGTTGCAAAGTGATAATAAAACTCCACAGTTGTGGGCAGAGAGTTACTCTACAGTTCATACTCATCTTCTTTAAACGTGTTCTTGGTTTTTGTTCATTGTCATTATATAACAATCTTAATATCAAGATTGAGAAGAATTCACCATAGGTCAGGGTTGAATTCCAACATCTGGTATCTAGAGCTCCGGTTTTGATTTAAGGGAAGAACAATTGTGATGGCGATGAATCACCTGAAAGATCACTTTCTATCAAGTCTTCCAATTCTTAAGAAAGAAAATAATGAGAATTGGTGCAAGCAGATTAAGGTGGTTTTCTGTTACCAAGATCTTTGGGATCTTGTGAAGGAGGTATTATCACCGCTTGCAGAAACTGTGACATATCAGAAGAAAGAAGCATATAAACAATTGAAAAAGAAAGACTATAAAACTCTATTTATAATCCATCAATGTGTTGGTCCAGATAACTTTGAAAAGGTTTGTGATGTAGAGTCAGCAAAGAAAGCGTGAGAGATTCTTGAAAAATCATTTGGAGGCGCAGATAAGGTGAAAGATGTGAAGTTACAAACTCACAAACGGACTTATGAATTGCTTCAGATGGAAGACAGTGGAAGTATAACAGATTTCTTCACCAGAGTTACAAAGCTGGTGAATCAAATCAAGGTATGTGGAAAAGTGTTGACATCAAAATCAATTGTGTCAAAGATCTTGAGGTTATTGGCTCTAAAATTCGACCACGTGGTAGTAGCCATAGAAGAGTCGAAAGACTTTTCAGTATTAACAAAGGAAGAGCTTCAAGATATGCTTGAGTCTCATGACAAAGGATGGCTGAAAGAGTTACAGGAAAGTCGAAGAGTGATATGGCTTTGCAGACGCAGTCAGAAAAAGAAAGGAAATGCAAAGGAAGATGGAATGGCAACAAAGACAGAGGAGGCTACACCAATATGAATGGTCGAAATTAACATGAAGGAAACTGGTCGAATAAGAGAAAACCCTGGAAGCAAGGCAACCAAAGAGGTGGTATTGCAGGTAGAGGAAGAGGTGGTGGTCGAAAGCCTGACAAAAGTCACATTCAATGTTTTAATTATTAGAAGTATGGTCACTATTATAGTGATTGTCTAGAAAAGAAAAAGAATCAAGAAATTGATACGAGGTTGGCGAAACATGAAGAAGAAAAGATGTTGTTGATGGTCACAACAAGAGACGAAGAGAGATTCCAAGACTAGTGATACTTGGACTTAAGATGCTCATCACACATTACTAGAAGGAAATGTTGGTTTGTCAACATGAAGCTCTCATCAAAGAACACGATAAAGTTTGCAAATGACAACACTCTAACAGCTGAAGGTGTTGGTGATGTTCAGATTGTGAGGAAGGATGACAAGAAATCAATAATTTCTAATGTCTTATACACACCAGGCATGAAAAGTAACCTGCTTAGTATAGGACAGTTTGACGAAAAGAACTACAAGGTGTCAGTCGAAGACAAGATTATGAGAGTTCTCAACTCAAGTGGTAGGTTAATCTTGAAGGCTTCAATGTCTCAGAATATGACCTTTAAGATCGAACTCAATGTGATGGAGCACAAGTTCCTAGCAACTGCAGCTAACTGAGATGAGTGGTTATGGTATTTTCGACTAGGCCGTCTCAACTTCAACGATATCAAAGAGCTAAAGAGAAGAAATATGGCTTCAGAATTACCTAAAATTTACATTCCAAGTGAAGTTTATGAAGAGTGTGTTCAGTCAAAACAACACAAGAATAACTTCAGCAAGGATGCAGGAAGAAAGTTGAAGTCAACTATGGAAGTCATATACTCTAATGTATGTGGCCCAATCCAGGTGAATTCGATTGGAGGAAACAAATACTTTGTCACGTTTATAGATGACTTCAGTCGAAAGTTTTTTACTTACCTCATTAAGAAGAAAAGTGATGTAATCGAGGTATTTTCTAGATTCAAATATATGGTCGACAGACAGAGTGGTCGAAAGCTGAAAATTCTTAGGACTGATTGTGGTGGAGAGAATGTGTCGAAAGAGTTCGATGCATTATGTGAAAAATAAGGGATTATACATGAGGTGGTGCCACCATACACTCCATAGCAAAATGGAATTACATAAATAAATAACAGAGCCATCGTGAACATGGTGAGAAATATGTTGAATGGAAAGAATCTACCCAAAGAATTATGGGGAGAAACGATTTCGACAACAACATACATATTAAACAGATGTTCGACGAAGAAGCTTGAAGGAATCACACCAGAAGAATGTTGGTCTGGTGTTAAGCCTAGCCTCAGTTACTTGAAGGTGTTTGGATCTATAGCGCATAGACACGTGCCAGATCAGTTGAAAAGGAAGCTTGATGACAATTCCAATCAGATGATCTTAATAGGATATCATTCGACTAGAGGTTACAAGCTATTTGACCTAGTGAATAAGTAGGGATGTGATCATATATGAGCTTAAAGAATGGGATTGGACTAAGAATGTCAAGAAGGATTTAGTGAGAATCTCTTGTGAAGAACCACCCACTGAAGTCAAAAGAGAAGTTCGACATGAACAAGTTAGAGATGAAGTAGGCCCAAGCATACCTCGACGAATAAGACACATTCCTACAAGATTGCAAGAATGTTTGATTATATTAGATGATATGGTTAATGAATAAGGTGAGCTTGTACATTATGCTTTCTACGCAGATGTTGAACCAGTCAATGCAGTTGAGGTATTGAAATATTTGAATTGGGCGAAAGCAATGAATGAGGAGTTAGACTCCATCAAAGTCAACAACACCTCGTCACTTGTCGAATTGCCTCAAGGCAAGAAGGCAATTGATGTGAAATGGGTTTACAAGGTGAAAGTGAATCTTAAAGGAGAGATAACTCGACACAAGGCGAGACTTGTGGCGAAAGGATTTCTTCAAAAGGAAGGAACTGACTTTGACAAAGTGTTTACACCTGTTGCTAGGATCGAAACAATCAGGTTGGTTGTTGACCTAACAAATATGAACAATTGGCACACATGTCAGATGGAAGTGAAGTGTACATTCCTTAATGGCCCCTTAGACAAAGAAGTTTATGTCGCACAACCAGATGGGTATGTGAAACGAGGCCAAAAAAGGTGTACAGGTTGCATAAATCCTTGTCTGGACTTAAGCAAGCTCCAAGAGCTTGGAATAAAAAAATCGATAGCTTCTTAAGGGAGAAGGAATTTGTGAAGTGTACGACTGAGCATGAAGTGTATGTAAGAAGAAGTA